TGTTTAAACCTCATTTGCAGAACTGTATAATCCTAGGCATCTTACCTTCAAAAGGACAATGATTTTTGTGAGAAGTGGTTCATTTACATTTATGCAGACTGGAAAATTTCTTCAGCATAAACCTTTTTAATATCCTAACAGGTGTTTGGCCTTTGAAATAGGGTGCCTTCAGATGGGATAAGTGCAGTAAATTTGAGGGAATGCTTGATATATATATACTTTTTTTCCTTAAGTGAATGAGACAATCTCTATAGAGCTGGGCCATAAGTAGTATGTGCCAATCGATTAATCAACAACCATACTATTTTCCTAAGTGGATGAGACAATCTCTATAGAGCTGGGCCATAAGTAGTATGTGCCAATCGATTAATCAACAACCATACTATTTTTCCTTAAGTGAATGAGACAATCTCTATAGAGCTGGGCCATAAGTAGTATGTGCCAATCAATTAATCAACAACCATACTAATTGATCTGTACAGTGTTCCTTAAACTACCGTACGTGGAAGTGGAAAAAAGTTGGCAGCAGGTGATGCTAGCCAGTTATCTTCCCTCTTGTCAACAACTGAAAAAGAAACCGAAAGGAAAAAGTTGCCTTCCCTCTGGTCAGAAGTTCAAAATCCATTTATGGCAGATAGTTTTAGTAGCTTTACCATAACAAAAGCAGGGCAAACAGGTTTGGTGGCAATGGAAATTAAACCTGAGAGCTCTGAATCACAAGCCCCCCTCCCAAACTTAATCACAATTTCAATTAATCAACTGTAGTAATAAAAAAGTTATAATTTTCCTTCACTGAAAATATATTTCTGATAGGTATTTACCTCCACACACATATTCGTGTTCAATGCTGCCCTCTATATGCAAACATTTTTTCGCATGCCACAAGCCACTGATATGTTTGCTCATATTCCTTACCACATATCTAAAGAACATCTCTGCTTTAATGAGAACCACTAATGGTGAGGTAATGTTGGAGAAGTTGGTCACGGACCATCGATAATATGACACAAAATGAGGAAACAGCAGACTTCTTTCTTGGTCACAGGTTAAAGCCAATCTTGCATCCCTGCTAATTTAGCAGAATTCTACTCACAAAATATATATATGGGCGAGAAATTCCAATTATGTATATATATTTATGCACATTTTCCTAGCTTCTATTTCAATCTTGCCCTTTCTTATCCACTGGAACACCATTTGAAGGTTCTCAGCTGCAGACTCAAATGTGTGACCAAAAACTGAGATATTGTAAACATCAATTAAACATTTCTCCCATTGCAGCCCTTTCCATTTAAGCTCTGTTAGATTCTCAAATGTGGGAGGCACATTACACAAGCTGAATTGCATGCTGCAAAACTTGTATAAGCCATTTCACATGCTGAAAGCAACCTTAGGTCTGCTCTCATCATTCAGCTCCACTTACCTATAACTGGATGCCAGATCTAACATTTGAAACCAATGGACCCCCTTCCAATACAACCAGACATTAATTTGTTTGTGGTAATGAAAAAATGTCAACATGAATTACCATGTTCTCCCATCTAAACTAAATACTGAATCTGGGTATATTTTCCCGACAATCAAATCACTTTTGAAGAAGATCAAGCACTCTTTGAAGGTTGTACGATCCCACCTTTTGTTATCTACTGTACTTCAGTACTGGCTACATCCTTAATGCTCCAGGGAAGCCTGCATGGTAGTTGTTTCATCAGGTGTGCATCAGGTGTCCCAGTAATTATAGGCCCATTAGTCTTACATCAGTTGTGGGAAAAGTTTTGGAAAGTTTGTTAAAAGATGCTTTGCAAAGTCATTTAACAAAGCTTAGAATTTTATTGGATAGTCAACATGGTTTCACTAAGGGAAAATCTTGCCTTACAAATCTAATGACATTCTTTGGAAAGGTTACTGCTTATGTAGATGAGAGTAAGGGTGGAGATTGGGTGTATCTGGATTTTTAGAAAACCTTTGACAAGGTGCCATATAAATGGCTTGTGAAAAAAATTAGCTCTATAGATGTGGGGGATAAGTTACTAAATTGGATAGAAGAGTGGCTGGATGGAAGAACGCAGAGGGTTGTTACAAATGGAGTTCAGTCAAAGTGGATCAATGTCACAAGTGGGGTACCACAGGGCTCAGTCTTAGGACCTTTGCTCTTGATATTAAGGTCTTGGATGTTGCTAGCTGTGAAGAGGATGCTATTGATTTACAAAAGGATTTAGATCATTTAGTGAGTTGGACTAATAAATGGCAGATAGGTTTTAATTATAATAAATGTAAGATAATGATATGTGGATTATAATAATTTGAATGGGAATAACCTTAACAGTGTTAAGAAGGAAAGGGATCTTGGTATAATAGTCGATCAGTCTCTAAAGACATCCAAGCAATGTGCTGTTGCTAGTGGTAGGGCAAATAGGATTTTAGGTTATATCTATAGAAATATTGAACACAAGTCTAAAGAGGTTATAATTTCATTGTACAGGTCACTGGTTAAGCAACATTTGAAATATTGTATTCAGTCTTTGGCTCCTTACCTTAGGAAAGACATTGAATTGTTGGAAAGAGTTCAGAGAAGGGTTACTAGAATGGTGCCTGGGATGGAGAGGTTGTCATACAAGGAGAAGCTGAAATATCTCAAATTGTTTTCTCTGGAAAAAAGAAGAGTTAGGGGGGATCTGACTGAGTTGATTAAGACTGTAAAGGGAATTGATAGTGTTGATGCATCATCTTTTTTTTTTTTATATTTAACAGTGAGAATAGTAGGACTAGGGGACACAAATATATATTTTGGTAAGGTAGGAGTCATCTTCAGCTTAGAAAGTTTCATTTTTTTAAAAGGGTGGTTGGCTTTTGGAATGGGTTGCCTTCAGATGTTGTAGAGACAGTAAGTTTAAGAAAAAGCTTGATAAGTATATGAATGATAAGGGCTGGCTTTAAGATTTTTTTAAAATTAAGTTTAGAGTATGGAACAGCCGAGATGGATGAATAGGTCCCATGTTGTCCCAAAAAATTATGATGTGTTTATATATAGAGTAATGTGTATAGTTCTGGTTTCTTTATCTTGGGAATGACACAAAGCTGTTGAGGAAAGTTCACAGGTGGGCTACTAGATTGCTTTGAAGGATGAATGGGTTGTCACATAGGGATAGTTTGAGATCTCGAAATTCATTCTTTTTTTTAAGAAAAGGGTCAGGGATGATATAACTTATGTATTCAAAAATTACTGATGAAATTTATAGGCTGATGCCTTAGATATTATTGTATTGGATTCTAAGGGCACTAGAACAAGGCATCATAATTTCAAGACTTGGAAAGGTCAGACATACCTTCAAATTCTATGAAACAAATTGCTATATAGATATGTAGCACAGATAGTCCATTATATAGCTTTACACATAACAACAAACAAACAAGATGCAGCAACTTCACATGAGTTAGAAAATAAATAATACATAATAATAATTATTTGTGGGTTCAGGGCTGGATTTATTGATTGATTTTTCTATTTGTTAAGGGGGTTTGAGAGTCAAGCCATTCTTAACAGGCTACAGTCTTCTTGATGTCCCACAAATTATAATCATGGTGCATTTCCTAAACAAAGTTTCCAATGTAAAATAGCCTAATCCCATGTAGTAATAAAGAATAATGAAACAAACTGAACATACTTATAGAGAAACTGACACATCACATTAAGTTTAAGACTTTGATTCATTTGAATTCCAAAATGATTTAGAAATTCTATACACTCTAAGCATCTATTATTTTAATACACAATTTTTATGGGCACTATCTCCAAGTCTAACACAGCAACAGTACTGAGCAAACACAATATTAATACATGGGCCTCTTACTAGTTACTTTTACTTTGAGTTTGACAGTGGGCAAGAAAATTGAAACAAGAAAACATTGAGATGATCAACATGCTACACACTTGTGTTTATGATGAAAATAAAATTCCTCACATCCACGTTTTACACCAACAAGAGTGCAACATAACACAAACCTTAAATGTGAATTTAACTATTAAAAAATAAATAAATGCTTCCCCACATTTAGCAGATTATTTAAGCACGAAACCCTATCATAGTTTAATCGCTTTGCTCAATTTCTCAAATCACTAAAGTTAATCAGCAAATTGTTTGAATGTTTCAAACTTATGTGGAAGTTCACACTACCCTTTCGTCATATTCAGTTCATAGTCATACACCTCCTACTTCAATACAAGTCATCCAACAAACTCTTAGTTTTTAAACATAACAGATATAAATGCCAAAATTAGAATTAGTTAATCTAAAAACAAAGCCTTTTAACTCACTTTTCCTTTGTGAAACATGTCAACAAAATTTGCCATAGCAAAAACTTCCAAAAAACAAGGCCATATAGATCCAGTATCAACAGGTGGCGTAATAAGATGAAATTGAAAAAAGAAAGTCATATTATCTAAGAAATATTGTTTGCATCATAAATATATAATCGATAGTCCGCTCTGTTTAGTTAAATTTTCACATAATTCCAAATGATTTTTATAAAATGGTACTACAAAAAACAAGAGTAGTAATAAAATTGTACAATGTATACTTCTTATTACGCAAAGTATTAATGCACTAAATATACACGTATGGTAAATCACATTTAAAGAAATACAAAATCTTAGCGCTTTCGACAGACATTTATCCCTGCTACTTTTCAAACCCTAGGATTTCATTCAGCTTATTTACTCGATTTACTAAACAACCTGTTTTTAAGAAAAACATCTTGGTATTTTGATTGATCAGTTTCTCAAGCTATCTAAGCAGTGTGCTGTTGCTAACGGTATGGTTTGGTTTGGTGAATCTAAATTAACTTTAGAGCTACAGAGGTTAGGTCCGCTGAATAACAGAAGATTTGCTCAAGATATCGATTATGGAGTAGTGCCAAATTCCTTTAATAAATGGGCCAATATAAAATGAGGAAACGAGAATGGGTAAGGTAGGAGTCGTCTTCAGCTAAGACAGTTTCATTTTTCTAACATGGTGGTTGTCCTTTGGAATGGTTTGCCTTTAGATGTTGTAGAGGCAGAACGAGAATGATCTCCTAGAGAATAGCAAAGGAGCAAAGACAGCTAGAACAATATAAAGTTAACAGTTTTCTCAATCATATGAAACCTGCACATATAGAATGATAAATAATAAATTCAGAATAAATAATATAATAAAAAATGATAGAAATGCATAGTAGTGTTACGTCTCCGTTTGTTAAATTGATTTTCCGTAACTTCGTTCCAATGAAACTTTAGCGACACAAGTCCTTACTTAATAAAACTGGTTTATTCTTTCCGAATATAACTTTACGATACACTTAATTTCAATATTCGCGCTAAAACAAACACTATAACGAACGAACGTTAACTTCAAAAATACGTCTCTCTCTGACTGCAGTTCAATTACTCATTACTTACACACACATTATTCCGTCACGTTGTCACCCTCTCTTATATACCAGACTACCCTATATCTAGTAAATACTAGAGCATTAGCCAAGGTACAGGATAGTTCTAGAAAATAGGTGGCGCCACACCAGTCACGTGACCTCGATGACGCAACAGTAGAATGAATTAACTTAAAGGCTTTCTTGGTCATTTGTTACAAAAAACCTGCATAGATTTGAAATTGCATTACAAAACGGTACTATGTGTCTACTACCCTCTTAATCAATATACAATCTTTTTCAAAATTATTTAAGTAATACTTTAACATTCTCTGTTCTGAAAACATATAAGATGTGGCTTCTTTAACTGGCAATTAGCCAACTTTTTTTCAGGTAAGATAGTGCATGATGTCCAGAAGTAAAAAGCTACATTTTCGGTCAGCAAATCGGATAAGGGTCAGGAGCAGCAGCGCTTTAGAACAGTAGCAAAGATCATTTATGAGATGTGTTTCATGTTCAAACTTGGCTTTGGTTGTGTATTCATTTTTGTATAAAAAAACAGGTTTGCCCCTGTAAGAAAGATATATACAGCTTTCAAATTTAAACTTTTTTTTTCTTTTAACTGTTAAATCTGTTGATAACTTTTAGACTAACTTTCAATTGTGTATAGTTTTAGACATTGTGCTTCAAGATAGCGAAATGTGTAAGTATAGTATTTAACTTTTACTTTGGAATTGACATTGGTCATTTCAGATCACGTTTGATTTGTTTGAGTAATGGTAGCATAAATATTCTTGCAAACCTATTTTGGTTTGTTTTGTTGTATTCTCAAATAAACGGATTTTCATGTAAATAACAGAAAAGTCTGCTTAATAAACAGGAGGATTTGACAATAAATGTATGGAGAAATCTGAATTTGAAAACTCGAGTATGTTTCAAATTTGGTGAAAAATAAACATACTGGACATCTTTGATGGAAAGTGAAACCTTATTTTTATGATGCAACAAATGAAAACAGTGTGCATATGTCATGATATAAAAGACTGTTTAATTTAGATTAAGTTAACTTGTTCTGAATATATATATTATTTTGAAAACGAGTGAAGTGCATGCTGTTTTTTCATTGTTGAATTTATATATATTGTTACGTCTCCGTTTGTTAATTGATTTTCTGTAAATTCGTTCAGACGAAACTTAAGCGACACAAGTCCTTTCTTAAATAAAACTGGTTTATTCTTTCCGAATACAACTTTACGATACACTCAACTTCAACAGGCGCGCTATAACAAACTATAATTCACGTCTCATGAGCTCGACTTCAACAATACGTCTCTCTCTGACTGCAGTTCAATTACTCATTACCTACACACACATTGTCACGTCAAGCCGTGACCATCTTATATATACCAGCCCACCCCCAATCTAACAAATGCTAGAGCAGTCCCGAAGGAACGGGATAGTTCTAGAAAACGGGTGGCGTGATACTAGTCACGTGATCTCACTGACGCAACAATATATATATCATTTTGAATTCTGACAATTGGCGAGCCAGCCAGGATTATACAGTGGTAAACGGCGATAGAAGAAAACGTGAACGACAGCGGAGATAAGTAGGCCTATATATACACATACACTGTAGTGGTAATCAAAATAGTGTAGAGATTAAAATTAACCTATATAACCACGTGAACAGATTTTGATAAGTGGGTACAAAGAGGATCCCAAGTTTGGTTAAAAGACAATGAACTGTGAGAGTTTATTAAACAACAACAAGAACTGGAAAGAGAAGGACGGCAACAGAAGAGACAAATTGAGAAAGAAGAAAAAGAAAGACTGAAAGAAGAAAATGAGAGAAAGGAGAAACTAGAAATGGAATGAGAACACAAATTGAGAAAGGAGAAAAAAGAGAGCATGGAGAGACTAGACATAGAGAGTATAAGGGCACAAATTGAGATAGCAAAACTCACCCAACTGAAAGAAGAAGGACCCAAGAATGACAATGGAGTCAGGGCTAGCCGACCCAAGTTGCCCAAATTTGATGACCATAAAGATGACATGGATGCTTTCCTGGAGAGATATGAAATATTTGCCCAAAGTCAGAACTGGGACAAAGGCGACTTGGCAGTCTGTCTCAGCCCACTTCTCACAGGAAAAAACCTACAAGTATATTCAGGCACGACATCAAAAGATGCCATGGATTATGATAAATTAAAAGTAGCTTTACTTAAACAAGATGAACGTACTGAAGATGATTTTCGTCGGAAATTCAGAGGAGCTGAACCAGACACTGGAGAAACTATATTTCAGTTTGTGGCATGTCTTCGACAATATTTCACCAGATGGACTGATATGGCCATGTGTGAAAATAGTTTTGAGGGACTGGCAGACCTATTAGTATTTGAACAGTTCATGACCATGTGTTCAACTGGTATGTCACTGTTCCTAAAGGAGTGAGCACCAAAAAGATGTAGACAAAATGATCAAGCTGGCAGAACAGTATATGGAAGCCCATGGGGGTAGTATAACTGGCAAGTCCAATAATGTCCAGTTAAATTTGAAACCAGTAATGGCTGACCAGAAGCAGGAGTTTACCAAAGGGGACAGGAGGTTAATAGACAAAAGGGAAAAAAAGATGTTATGTTTGTTATACAATGGGACACATTACAAAAGAGTGCAAGTCCATTACCAGCAAACAACAGCAGAAACCTCAGCATAAAGCAGCTGGGGCCATTTACAAAGACACTGCTGGTAAGAAACATGAAAAGAGTGACTGGCACTATGGATGCTGCTGCCAGAAGAAAGAGAATCAAGTCTACTTGTCAACTTCAATACAAGAAATCATGATTGATCGGTGCACAACTAATGGCTGGCTCAAATTATTAAATGGACCAACAGTGCCAATAGTGATGGGAGCATGTGACAAATATCAAGAAGTGCCAACAAATAATAATATGCCAATATGTGAATGTTATGTTGGGGACAAGAAAGTGAAGGTTCTACAAGACACTGGGTGCAGTAGTGCAGCAGTGAGAACCAATCTAGTATCCGATGATCAGATGACAGGCAAGGTATGTCTGTGTGTGCTAATTGATGGGACAGTGAGAAAATTTCCTATAGCCAAAATATAGGTGGATACTCTATATTATGTAGAAGACCTTGAGACCATGTGTATCAAGGAACCAATACACGACTTGGTGATAGGAAACATACCAGGTAGTAGAAACTTTGAGGAACTAGGCAGATGCAAGAAGGCGATATCCCGAACTGAATGAAGCACAGAAGAAAGACCTTTCACTGCAGAAACATTGGGGCAATGCCTGGAAGAAAGTCGAGCACAAAACAAATTGGAAAGATACTTATAGAATAGAGGACCAGAATGGAGTTCTATACCGAATCCATCAAGGCAGTTATACTGGAGAAGTTAAACAGATCATAGCACCAACAGAATAACAGACTGAAGTAATGAAGTTGGCTAATGAATCAATTGTGGTAGGACACCTAGGAACAAAGAAAATGGCAGACAGAATCACCAGTAACTTCCATTGGCCGGGAGTCATCGAAGATGTGAGTAGATTCTGCAGGTCATGTGACATCTGCCAAAGAACAATACCTAGAAGGAAGGTAGTCAAAGTGCTATTGGGGAGATGCCTCTCATAGAAGAGCCGTTCAGCAGAGTAGTTGTGGACGTGCTACTAGCACCTGTGTGTGACAAGGGCAACCAGTATGTTCTAAAAGTAGTTGAATATGCAACACGTTATCCAAAAGCAATGGCATTGCCAACGATAGAGACAGAGAGAGAGTAGCAGAAGACCTCTTGGAGATATTTTTCAGAGTATGCTTTCCGAGAGAAATCCTGAGTGATAGAGGGACCCAGTTTACTTCAGAACTGATACAGGAAGTGTGCAGACTCATCAGTACTCGACAACTCTTCACCACCCTGTACAATCCTAAATGTAATTGACTTTGTGAAAGAGTCAATTGAGTTTTAAAGAGTATGCTAAAGAAGATGTGCCAAGAGAGACCACATGACTGGGACAGGTACTTACAGGCAGTGTTATTCACTTATCGAGAAGTCTCACAAGCAAGTACAGGATTATCACCATTCGAGTTACTGTATGGAAGAACAGTTTGAGGTCCAATGTAAATATTGAAAGAGCTATGGATGAGAGAAGAAGAGTCAGAAGTAAGGAACACATACCAGTATGTGTTAGACCTCAGAAACCGACTGGAGAAAACCTGTCAACTTGCTCAACAGAGTTTGTATGCCGCTCAAGGTAATCAGAAGCATTTTTATGACAAGAAGGCCAAGGGTCGACATTTTGAAGTTGGACAAATG